AATAAGGCATTATTTTTTTACTATTAAGAAATATAGAAGTGAAATATGTATGATTTGTTTACTGCCTCGATGTTCTCAAGAGGCATTTGAACAACTTTATTGCATTCCCGATCCAGTTCTAGGTGAAGATATTCATTATAAGTCATTCGAGGAACTATATAGCACACCTACAACTGAGGATCATAGACCTTTACTTAAAAATACTAGATTGAAAACTATAAAATCAGGTAAAGCAAAAGCTACTATTGTAGCAAAATATACCATGCCATTTAGCCCTTCTTTTATATATGCAAAAAATATCAAAATTACTGTGATTCGTTCAGAATGTGAAAAACTATATTTACTATTTAGCACAAAAAAATTATTAGCAAAAGAACATGAAATGCTAGAATCTTTTCTTGACACAATTTTGTATACATGTAGAATATCATTTCATAATACCTGTGATCTCTAATCTACTACCACAACCAATATTGCCACCACTAATGACAACCAAGATGAAGATCCACAAAGTGATGACATGCAAAGTGACGACCTACAAGATGATAGCTTGCAAGGTGATGACCTACAAGGTGATGATCTACAAGGTGCTGACCTACAAGGTGACAACCTACAAAGTAGGGATTGGAACCGCTTAAAATTTTATTAACCGTTAATCGTTTAACCATATTAACTGTAAAAATTTAGCTGGCATTAAAATTGTCCTGGTCTATGATAAACATAATTCAGCCCGGCACTATAAAAATTTTTTTTTGTGATTAAACAGTTCCAATCTCTACTACAAGGTGACGACCTACAAGTGATGACCTGCAAAGTGATAACCTTTGAGAGGATGACCAACAACTTGATAAAAATTAACAAACTAATGATGCAATTGCCAAATCTACTTATTTGAATATAGAAAGTAATGAAATTAGTAACGATGAAGATGAAGTTAATGATGAAGATAGTTATAGTGAGGAGGAGGATAGAATGAATGACAAAAATTCTGCTGAAACTGAGGATGGATCTAAAGAGAACTTCACAGTAGATCCTTTTGTATGAACTTTTTCTGCAGGATTTCATAAATATTCTTGGAATTGCACTTCACTGATTAAAAAGCCATATTATTCAGCAAGAATCTTCTCTCTTGTTTGCTACTTGTGCAGAAATTGAAACATAACAAAATCTCCAAAGGATGAATGGTCTTTGTGTGTTAAATGAAATGGAAAACCTTTACTAAAAAAATGGTTTAAATGGGCTCAAAGTACAAATAAAAAAAGAAAACAACATCGAACTAAATAATTAGTATTAGGCATTAATTATAAATGTTAAATTACGAAGTTTACTATACTATTACTAAACTGTTATAAAATATCTTTGTAAATCTTTGTATAAGCGAAATATTGTATTATTGAAATAAATTTTTTTGTGGTATCAATTAGATAATCATGCATTTCTATTGGCTATTTATTTGCTGTGCCATAAAAAAAAATTTGGGGCTTAGTGAATTCTGACCCGGCTGGAATATGAAAACCAAAAAATTTTTTTTATATAGCCTAAGTATAATCTAATATTATCTAGTAATTATCTTATAGCAATATAATAGCAATCTAATAATATAATATTTTAGTAATATTTTAATAATATAATAGCAATCTGTTTAAAATAATTGAATAATGTTACTAATATCTTAACACTTAACAATATAATAAAAATATTGTTAATAGTAACTTAACAGATTAAAAATATTTTTATAATATTTTTATCATATAATGGTTATATAATAATTATATGATAATTATAAATAGCAAAAATTTAAGTTTCTGCTAAGAATATGGCAAAGCTTTAAGGCTTATTTGTTATTTACATAACATAATGATATATCTGATATACTTATACAGTATCAGGTGTTAGCATATCTATATCAGTCACCCAATTTGTTATATCTAAATTTTAACATATGATTTTCATACATTACACAAATCGACGAAATTACAGATTTAAAATTTTTGCCTATAACTTTAGTTGAAATACATAATGTTCCTTAAGGCAAAATTATTCTTGAGGTTTTTATGAATTGAACAGTGTTTGGATTATACAAAATAAACTATTCTTTATAAAATGCTACATCCTTGAAGTTGAGTAATTATTTTACATACTTTGCAAATTTTTTACACAAAAAGTGGTTCACTAGGTGTGTCATAAAAAGAGCTTTCAGCAAAATGCATCTCTGAAAGGCAGGTACATTATGAAAATAATGCAAAAAATCAAAAAAACTATTTTAAGTAAGTAGATTATGCTTAATTCAAGGCTTTTTACTTAACTTTGTTTGCAAAAAAGTTTTTTTTTAATAATTTTTATTTGATCTAAAGGATAGAGTTGCATTTTCAGCAATTAAGTACAACAATATAATGAATTTATTCTAATTATTTCTTTTGTATCAGTTGTACCAATAATTTCAAATTCTTTTTCAATTCCAATAATTAGTTATATCTGACAAATTATTAACCAGTTTATTAATGATATTCATAAATAAAAAACTAAAATCTTTATATTCTTCAAGTTCATTTAGAATCTCTTCTTCTTTATCTGTAGTTTTGTATATTTTATATTTTTTTCTTAGAGGTATGGATCCTGAAGAAGCACAGGTTTCAGATAAGACTTCATTAGTTATTTCAACTTCTATGTCTTCTGTTGTTTGTGAAGAATCAACTATTTTTATTATCATAGTATTAGTTTCTTCTCTTATATGCTTTTTATTTTTTAGCATATTTATAGGTGTTATATTTGGTATACCTCATCCTTTTTTCACTTGTTTAGCAGTTTTAAGAATATCCTGCTCAAAAATACTATTCAATTTATTGATGTCTTTTTTATAGAAGGTAAATATTTGTTAATATCTCTTATCTGTTAATTGTGTAGTTTCTTCAAATAAGAGATGAGATTCAGGTTGCTGGCTGCTAAATACTAATTTTAGTTTATTAATTAGCTTCTATGGAGCTTCAAGATAGCTTTTAAAAATTGAAATTTTTTGTTTACTACCTAATCTCTAGCAAATTCTAAAATCAACAAATTAAGATGATTATATTCAGCCTGTGTTGCTTTTAAATTTAATTTAAATTTTCTAAATCTTTTACATAACTAGTCATATTTTTCTTAAAAAATTTTACTTGATATATTTCTAGAGCTTCGTCTTGACCCAAGTATTTCCCTTCCTGTATTAAATTAATGAAAGGTATAAATTAGAGATCTTGAAGAAATTGTAGATTACTTTGAAAATCTAATAAAAATCAAGTGATAAATTTAGTATATCTATATTTTCTTGTAGCAGAAAATAAAGATACAAATGCTATTAAGCTGTGCATTTGTAGGTTAAAATTTGCTATCTGAATGCCAAATTTATTTATTTATTTATTTTTTTTTTTTAAGGTGAGGTCTTGCTCATATCTTTATTGGGTAATTTATATAAGTAATTACATAATATTTTATAAAAAGACTTAATTTGTATATTAACAAATAAATATAAATTACATGCAAGAATAAAAGCT